CCCAAGGTTGAGAAGGGACAGTGTTGACATGTCGTGGGGTTGTTAACCATTGTCATAAAACAATATGTGTACTAACCGTTTAATGAGAAACTATTCTGTAAACTTTCGCCTAAAGTACAATAAAAAAATTAATAATTTAAAAAAAAATTAAAAAAATCCCTTAATTGTCCAGTTCAAACAGTATAAATGCTAGTGTAAGAGAACAATTTCATGACAATTATTTCAAAGTCAATAAAAAGGACATAAGATACTGTTTGAGCAGCATTATGCAGACCTATGGGCAGAATAGCCAAGAGCTTCCATAGAATTCATGCTTTTCTTCACCTTTGAATAAACATTGTCTGCACCTTTCTGTAAACATCTACAAAATTTATTTGTATTATCTCCACCAAAAGCATTACAATTTTTCTCATGAACTCCTAACTCAATAACAGAATCTCTGCAAAAATTTGCTCATTTCTGAAGTCTCCTCAGGAAGAGATTTCACTCCAACTAATCTTACAAGCAAGCCTTTTTTATGAGAAAAATTTTGCACCAACAAAAGGAAATTTTTTCTGCATTGTGATTATTTGCATCCATAACTATGTCATAAAAAGGTGAGACATTTAGATTCTTCGATAATCACTACAATAGTAAATGGAGCTATTACATTTGTTATGGATTGAATTGCATCCCCCCAAAATGTGTGTCAACTTGGCTAGGCCCTGATTCCCAGTATCATGTGGTTGTCCACCATTTTGTGATCTGATCTGTGTTGTAAATCCTAACCTCTATGCTGTTAATGAAGCAGGATTAGAGGCAATTATATTAATGAGGCAAGACTCAGTCTACAGGATTATGTTGTATCTTGAGTCAATCTCTTTTGAGACTTAGAAGAGAGAATTGAGCAGAGAGACAGGGGGACCTCCTACCACCAAGAAAGAAGTGCCAGGAGCAGAGCACATCCTTTGGACTCAGAGTTCCTGCACTTAGAAGCTCCTAGACCAGGGAAAGATTGATGACAAGAACCTTTCCCCAGAGCTGACAGAGAAAGCCTTCCCCCGGAGCTGGCACCCTGAATTTGGACTTCTAGCCTCCTAGACTGTGAGAGAATAAATTTCTCTTTGTTAAAGTCCACTTGTGATATTTCTATTATAGCAGCACTAGATAACTAAGACAACATTTTTTTATTGCCATAGATTTTGTCCTGGCATTTAAAATTTTGCTTGCAATATTTGGAATCAGAAAATACATCTGGTAGCAGTATTTGAGCTGAAAGAATGATGACAATACACAGTGTAGAAGGCCATTACAATTTCTGCTGTGAATATTTTATCTTCTTCACTGGAATCTCTCTGAATCAAAAATTTGTCATTTTGACACTTTTTCCTTGGTACATGTTGAAGAAATCAAACATCTTCTATACTTAGCTGTTAGTATATGCTGATTTACACCTAACTTTCCACTATTTTCAATATTCAAAGAACAATTGCATACTGCACAAAGAGCTTCAAAAGGACTTTTTCCTTGTTGGATAAATGCCTACTGTTCTTGACTTGACAGCAAAGGGTTTTTGGGTTTAGTTTAGAAAATTTGTCACGAAATTTACACTTGCATTGTGTGGTTCAAATATACACAAATAAAAAAATAGGTAATACAAATGATTTTCAAAAAGGGTGCCAAGACCATTAAATGCGGCAAGGATAGTCTGCTCAACAAATGGTGCTGGGACAACGGGATTTCCACATTCAAAAGAATGAATACCCATGACTTGTACATTATACCAAAAATAACTCAAAACAGATCAAAGATCTAAAGGTAAGAGCTAAAACTATTAAACTCTTAGAACATAACATAAAAGTAAATCTTCATGACCTAGGATTAGGCAATCGTTTGTTAGATCTGGCACCAAAAGACAAGAAACAAAAGAAAAAATAAATTGGACACCACCAAAAATGGAAAATTTTGTGCTTCAAAGGACACTATGAAGAAAATGAAAACTCATAGAATGAGAGAAAATTTTTGCAAAGACAAACAATGCAATGAAAAAAAAAAGGGCAAAAAATCTGAATAGACTTTCTCCAGAGAAGATATACAAGTGGACAATAAGCAACTGAAAAGATGCTCAATATCATTAGCCATCAGGGAAATGCAAACCAAAACTATGAGATACCACTTCACATCCAGTAGGATGGCTATAATAAAAAAGACAAATGAAGATGTTGATGAGGATGTGGAGAACCTGAAATCCTCATACAGTGCTAGTGGGAATGTAAAATGGTGTAGCTGCTTTGAAAACAGGTTGGCAGTTCCTCAAAAGGTTAAACATAATGACCCAGAAATTCCATTCCTAGGTATGTAACAACAGAAATGAAAACTTATATCCACACAAAAACTTGTATATGAATGTTCATAGCAGCATTATTCATAATAGTGAAAAACTGGAAAAAACCCAAATCAATTGATAAATGAACAAATAAAATATGGGACACACATATAATGGAAAATTACTTGGCAATAAAAAGAAATGAAATGCTGAGGCATAATACAACATAGATGCTAAGAAGCCAGTCACCAAAGACCACATATAGAATGATTTCAACCAGAAGGCTCTTTAGAAGCAAGGATGGCGAGATTACATCTTACATACTTTGGACGTGTTATCAGGAGTGATCAGTACCTGAAGAAGGACATCACGCCTGGTAAAATAGAGGTTCAGTGAAAAAGAGGAAAACCCTCAACAAGATGGATTGACACAGTGGCTGCAACAAGGGGCTCAAGCGTAGCAATGTTAGTGAGGATGGTGCAGGACCAGGCAGTGTTTCCTTCTGCTGTGCATACGGTCGCTATGAGTTGGAACCAGCTTCACGGCGGCATCTAACAACAACAGGCAAATCCATAGTGACTGGGGAGAAATGACTGCTGACGGGTACAGAGTTTCTTGTTGGAGTGATAAAAATGTTACAAAATTGATTGTGGTGATGGCTGCACAACCACTGAATTGTTAAAGAAAAAAGTTATAATAATAAGAATTGAAAATATTTAATTTGATAATCTCATGACTGCTCATTGCGTCCGTCTACAAATCTAAACTCATAACTAACCGTAATCAGGAGTTGAACCGTTGAAAGGGTTTTGAACTTGTGTACTAGCAATACATTGAACTCAATTATCTGATGTAAAAAAAAGAGAGATGGATTTCTTGACTGCATGCAAGGGAGAACAGTACTTGTAAGGCGCACAGTCCCTCTGAACAAAGCCAGAGCGGATCTCAC